TCATCAATATGAACTCTTCTTGGGCAGGGTCATATCTGTACATACTAGTTCTTTGAACTGCTAAATAGAGTTGGCCTCCCAGTAATAAGTGTGCTTTTAGGAAGAGGCCATAAAGTGTTCTGATGGAAGGAAATGTACAAATGAGAATGGTTAACTGTAGAAGTTAACTGTAGAAGGTAAATTTATACTAACATCATTTGGAAAGGCTTCCAAAAGTTTCTATTCCTGAATTTCACAGTTTCTATCCCTGAATTCCCTGTTTCTGTCAGGTGTTCTCAGTTATTCCATACTAAGCCCCCAGGGTCTCTTTGGGCCAGCTCTTGCCACCACGGGACACCTGAACCTCTGTCCTGAAGCTTAAAAGATAATTTGATAGTCTTAAAGATTTATGAAGTCATTTGCCTCTATGTATTAAAGATGCTTGGTACATTTTGCTTTCCTCATATAATCCTCTATCCTAGATAACCTTCCAAGCATCTTTCTTTTTCCATTTGTCAGTCTCCACTTTTACCCATCTTCGTTCTTCTTTACTTATCAACTCCTGCCTGATGCCCACTGTAATACTCATTCTATTGTCAGTAATACTTTTCTGAAATCCTCCTTCTACCTTTTCACTGTAACAGGAGAAACCTGATATTCTCACTAGTATATTATGTCCCTTGAAACCTTCTTAAGTGATCGACATTCACTCTGCATGAAGTTTACAGTTCACTCTCTCTAGTGACTGTTTTCCTAACCATTGTCAATGTCTATTTATAGATGACAGTGTAGAATATGCTGAGAGGTTTGTGGAGAAAAATGAAGGATACACGGTAGACATTCATGACTTTTCTTCAGTTAGCAATCCACGTGTGAGAAAGCATTTTCCAGAGACTTGGATTTGGCTAGACACCAAGATGGGGTAAAAATTTATAAAGTTCCTTGCTATATATGTTTTGTTTAGTGTTTGTTTTAAATAAGTTTAGATGTATTTCTAATGTTTAAGTACAAACATAATGTGATTCAGAACTAAATAGACCAAGAGGTTTTTGTTTTAGAATGATGTTTATTGAATCTAAGTATAGTATTTGGTAAAGCTACATGCAAATTGTGGTGGGAGAGATAGGTTTTTTTTTT